TGATACTGTAAAAAATATATTTTTGACCGACTTCCAAAAAGGAGGAGGAGGTTCTCAATTCGACAGAATCTTTTTTTTATGTATGTACACCGATTAATCGAAGACGCCTGAACCAATATTGATTTTTTTGTTTTGAAGGGTATACTTCCCAGGTGGTCCCATTTAAATTTTATAGAAATCGTTAGAGCTGTTTTTTAAAAAATCAACAATAAATATATATTTTTAATTAGGCATTTTTTTAAATAGACAATTTGCCTATTTAAAAAAAATTATTTAAATTTCTTAATTAATAATAATTTTGGAATAACTAGTGAAGCGCTTTTCTTCATCTTTTGTAATTTATAATTTTTGCAATTTTTTACATGCTGAAAAATGGTTTGAATACGTTTTTCTAGACGTCAAGCTACCTCATTCGTATATGCTATTTTTTACATAAAAACTGACAAACTAAAATTCGCTTTTATTAGTAGGTAGGTAACATAAAAATCAGACTCTAAAATTCAATTCTAACGTGCTTGTCAAATCAAACAAAATAAGCCCAAACTCAAACTTCAAAGTAGCTATTATTAGCCGTTGAAGAAATCGGGCCTTACCACCAGATCAGGTCGACGATACCGAATCATCGACGAAAATAGAAACACTTGCAGTTTTTAATCAATGCGATTAGATTAGTATTTATTTAGTAGATTAAATTATATATTTAGTAGATTAAATTTTCATTTGCTATTTTTCCACCCTACTGGTGGTTGGTTATTCAAATTTAAATGGGGCCAAAGTGGAAGTATACGCTTTCAAATAAAAAGGGGTTTTCTAAATCGTTTAATAAATAACGGAGTTCTGAGGTAACAAACATAAAAAAAACTTTTCGTTATACTTCTTTGGCGTAACAGAACAAAAATAGCTAAAGATTTCATCCCGTATATCTCAACTCTCTGTTTGTAAATGTAATGATAAATTAATAAAAATAATAAAATAAGGCATATTAAACAAAATATACATTTTATAGAATATCATATTAAGAAACAATATAATATTATAGTACCTGGGCGACCGAGGTTCGTTCGGAGTTCTTTTTTATTATATCGTTTTTTTAGATGATAATCTAGTTTTGGGCCAAAAGTACAAATTTTCTCTTAATTTGGATTAAAATAAAAAAAACTTGAGTAAATACAAAAAAGTGAAAACTTTGTATCCGACCGGGATTCGAACCCGGACACCTGTGATTGTCAATCTTGCGCCTTGGCCGCTTAACCACGATGCTTATGCCCGAGAATAATCTAGATCGATTTTTCGCTCCCGAAATCCCCCAAGTACCAAATTCCAGCGAAAATGTTTGAGCCGTTTTCGAGATTATATATATATATATATATATATATATATATATATATATATATATATATATACACACACACAAGAATTGCCCGTTTAAAGATATAAGATATGACCATGGATAGTTCAGCTATTATATCTGATATATCTGATTGCATCATTGATTCCTTAATATCTATTGGCACGATCTACGATCTCTGGTCACGATGACAGAAAAGATTTATGTAATACTATTTGACTACACACTAGATCAATTCGATTGTAATTAACTATTGATTCCTAATATTAATTGTACAGAAACAGCAGTTGCGATTATACTTATTGTTTCTATTGCTTAATTTATAATATCATTTTAATTACGTTTATTTTGAAAAATATTATTATTATTTAAAATATTATTTATGATGTAAGTATGTGTATATGTGAGTGAGAAATCTCGGCGACTGTAATCATTTTTAGGGTTCCGTACCCAAAGGATAAAACCGGACCCTATTACTAAGACTCCGCTGTCCGTCTGTTTATCCGCCTGTCACCAGGCAGTATGTCATGAACCGTGATAGTTAGACAGTTGAAATTTTCACAGATGATGTATTTCTGTTGCCGCTCTAACAACAAATTCTAAAAAACAAAATAAAATAAATATTTAAGGGGGCTCCCATACAAGTTACAACAAATGTTATTTTTTGTTCGTTTTTCCTCGATATTCATAGCGGCAACAGGCAGACGCTTGAAATATTCACAGAATATTTAGTTATATATTCACTTTAAAAATAAATAATTAAATTAAAACAAATATTTAAGTGGGGCTCCCATACAACAGAATAGTTTTTTTCCGTTTTATAGATAATGGTACGGAACCCTTCGTGCACGAGTCCGACTCGCACTTGACCGGTTTTTTTATAAAATATTTAATAAAACCATTTCTAATCTCATTACGACAAAGCCAATAAGGTATGTCAGCAACTTGCCATTTTAGTATTCATGTTAGAAGAAGTGGATTTATAACAAGCAATTAAACTATGATAATTTTAGATCATTACGTGTACGGCAATTAACAGGTAGGTACTTTGGCTTTCGTTATTAATCTTGCACTTTTTAGGACCGTTTCAAATAAAGCTTGTTTTCTATCAATATATGGCTTGTTACGTTACTTTTGGGACATATATTTTCACATTTATAAGTCAAAAAACAAAACTCGTACAGATAAGTATAGACGATTAGAATCCTATAGGTACCTATGTGGCTATCCTTTGTGCATTTTTATGTCTACGTATAGCGTTAATTACTCAGATTAAAAGCTTAATATATACAGAAGCGACAAAATATTATTTTATTTTATTTTTATGAATAAAAGAGCTGAGCTAAAAATTGTGGAAAAATTGGCCGACCAATTGGGAAATTCGGAAAACTAAGTGTTTTTTTTACGGTTTGTTATCCTCCACGATGTGCCTGATGCACCGTCGTAACTCTTCCTTCCAATATTATAAATGCGAAAGTTTGTGAGGGTGAAATATGTATGGATGTATGGACGTTTGTTATTGTTACTATGTCACGCAAAACCTACTGGATGGATTTTAATGAAATTATACAATAATATAGCGTATACATCAGAATAACACATAGGCTACTTTTTATCCCGGAAAAATGTACAGTTCTCGTGGGATAGATTTGTTTTTCTAAAGGCGAACACGAGCAAAGCCAGGGTGAGCCGATAGTATTACAATAAATATTATATTTCACATTAGACCCAGCAGTTGTTATTAAACCAGATTTATCTTTTGTCTGTTAATACTCTTGTACCTACTGTCTGAACTTAACCACATCTGCCGCTTTAGCTAAACAAACATTAGAACTAAATTAATTTTATATTACCATCAAATGTTTTAATCATTATATGATAATAATGAATATTAAGATTAATTTTAAATTACGTAGATTGTAGGTACACTCATAGCCGTGGATACTGTGCGTCAGCTGAGTACCTACGTAATACGTGCACTCGGATTAAAAGCTTACTACTGTGTAGATAAAATTACATTATTAAACAGTACCTACAAAACAAGAGATTTTTTCAGGTAAACAACATTATATTTTTTGTTAGTTCCTCGTAAAGTACCATCCAAAGGTATTTCTCAGTAGGAACATAAGTGGTACTTTCTGATTCACGCGGAGCTATTTCTTAGTGTAGTTAACAACTACTTATTTTTGCTTTTTTGTCACTCATGTGAGATACCACAGAATGTGTCCGTCCTTTAATCAAATCCCTAAGAGAGACTTACGAAATATTTTACATTATTTATTACTATTTTATTTGTCTTTGGCTGAAAAAATAACTACCATAATCAGGCGAACTGTGGCAGAGAGACTAGCTAGCTACTTTATTATATTTTTTTCAATAAGGACTATACTTACATTTATAAATTGTCTATTGTAGCCACCCAAACATCAAATTATCCGTACTAATTTTATAAATGTAAAAGTTTGTGATCTGGATGAAATTTGGCGCAGAGATAGATTATAGTCTGGAATAACATACGGGCTACTTTTTATCCGGGAAAATGTACGGTTTCCGTGGGATAGGTTTGTTTTTGTTTTCCTAGAGGCGAACCCGAGCGAAGCGAGAGTGAGCCGCTAGTAGTATAATATGCAAGTACTACAAAATACTGATTCTTATCTTTATCTATATTTATAAAAACATATTTAAATTATCACTTATCACCATTATATTGTCAATAAAAAGCATATATTGGTTTATGGCCCTCCATGTGCTTTGATTTATAAACAAATATATATAGGTAGAGATTACGGTGCCTTATCATTAGTGAATTAGATCTCCTCTATCTTGACTTGAATCAAACATTAACGATACTTGTTAAATGTACATTAGACTATCCATTTATATATAGCATGAGTGAGTTTGAATATAAAAATTATATGGTAAATACGTTTAGGTACTAAGTACTTATATGTGGATTAAGTGGTACTTATCGATGAATCCGCTTTAGATAACATCGACATTAAACTTCACAAATTTAAATCAAATGACAACATGAATGATTATTCAAAGGAAATACCATAATGGATAATCTGCTAGTTCAAATGAAAAGACTAAGCTGGATAAAGCGGATGATTAACAGTAAAACTAGAGCCATCTCATGTCATTTTTCGAATTCGTTGCTATTTTAAATGGCAGACTACTACAATTATTTGTGCAATTAGTCGATAAGATAAATGAAATACAAAAAATCTAATAAATTAGGTAAGGTAGAACACCAAATTTGAATGAAAAAAATATTACGATTTATCAAAAATACCTAACCAAAATTTAAATTAAATTATAATAATTGGTACCACTTACTTAAATTACTAACTAATAACTAGTGTGAAAGCATTTTCATTTCTTAACTATCGTAATCTTAATTTTTTTATGAAGAAAAATTAAATCTACGAGTACCTTCACCCTGAAACTATTCTAGATTTCTAATGTTTATCGCTGAGGTTCGCATTTTTTAAGCAGCTATTAGTCCTCACTGGGATAAAGATAGATTACAAATTGATGCATCTGAAGAAATTAATTATTTTTGTATAATATATATGTAAATAAAATAGCCTAAGAATGATATATTGGAATTAGGTAATATAGACGTAGCTTTATGAAAAATCAAACTTACCGCAATCCTCAAATATGACTGAGGCGTGGGCGGTTACAGCAAGCAATTGCAATACCATGCACAATAACAACATTTGTACTTTACTAATTGAATGCATAAATAGTACTTGATCGCATTGAATTTCTCATTACAAATATATCAAAATGGGCCCTGGTGATTACCTATCGGATGAGATAACATTGTGGCAAGCGCTTGGAATTGTGATGCATTAGAGGCAAAAGTGATAATTAGTAATCATAATTACCAAGACATAATTAAACAAGCTAAATTAAATCGATAATAATGAATGTGTGCTGATGACGAACTTATACAACCCTAACATTTTTGTTCTTTAAATTTATAGTAGGTATAAAGCACTGTGTATGTGTGTATATACTATAAAAAAATGATATACTGAATGATTAGGTGATTTTATGGTTTTTTAATGTCTTTCAGACTTTTACACAAGTCCTTAATTGTTTGTTTAATAATTCTTATAACTTCTTACTTTATAGTCGAAAATTAGTCTAGTTCCTATTTCATATTTAAATATTAAGCTCAGATATAGACAAAGCCAGCCAAAAAATGTCATTAAAGTAAAAAATAGTAGGATGTTTTTTATTTTGCTACTATTCTCGATTCGTACACGTCGTTTACTTTCTTCAAGGAATAAGGGAAATTTCTTACTAGGTATTAGTCGTTAATTTACAATTTTTGGAAATAAAATATGAATTATAAAAAAATACAATATTCTTTTATATTTTTAAGCATTAGTTTCCTTCTCTCTCTTCCCCGTGAAAGAGAGATAGTATGATATTAGTTTATTTAATATTTTTTCTTTATATATTATAATAATCCGGCAGCTACTTTTATTTATTAACATTTATTTACTTACTAACGACTCACGCTCGCTTCGCTCGAATTCGTCCCTGGATACGTTTTCACGCTTAATATAGATTTCTCAGAGATGGGTTATTTTCCCGCAGTAAAAAGTATCCTATATGTTGACCCGGATAACCAGCTATCATCATACCAAATATCATGAAAATCTGTCCAGTGGTTTTCTCGTGATGCGGTAACAGACAGACAGACGGACGGACGGACGGACAGACAGACAGGCAGATAGACAAAAATTCTAAAAACTATAGATTCGGCTTCTGTATCGATGATAATGACTATTTCAATAAGATTTTCCAAAAAATGTTTAATGTACAGATTCGACTTAGAATTTTATTATAGGAAAGGAGGGTACACTGAGCAATGAGGTGTTAAGTTGGCTATATAAATCTAGTTCAACTTTAGCAATAATATTAATAGTTTTCTGAAAGCAAAGGTTTTTTTAAAAAGAGGGTAATTATTCATTGTACCCCATATATCTCCGCATGGGGTACAGTGGATCTTATTGGGGCACAGTGAATCAACACATGAAATCATCATACATTTTACTGTTGGGTTACAGCGAATCAATCAATATTGTAGAAAAATTATATAAATAAAAATATTTATGAATTATGTGAACACTTTTAATCAACAATATTACAAAATTATCAATCTCTATTTATTTTCTATCAGTCGTAAGTACACATTAATTGTAGTGATATCTTATAAAACATGTATTTAGTATTTATATTAAGAAGTTTAAGGTATTATTTAAGGTTTAAAAATTATTAACTGGATAACATAAATCTTGAGCGAAACAAAATAAAACATATACACAATAAAACTAATTTCAAAAATAAAAACATATCACGTTAATACGAAAAGAAATTGAAAAAATAAAATAATAATTAACGTAATCTTAAGCGAGAAAAATTGAGATTGATATTATTTATAGACTTGCTGTTGTCGTTTACTGCCACAAAATGTAGGCAGAGGTAATTTCATTATTATATATTCTAGGGGTACTGAAGCTATATTTGGAACATCAGGTAATCTGTACCCATTCTTTACTTTTGTTCTCCTTCCCTTTCCTGTGTAAAATACTTTCTTTTTATGTGCATCTAACTATACTAGACGCAGAATTTTTTCTTTTCATTCTCTTTGTACTTATTAGTCGTTTCTCTCTCTTAATTTGTACTACTCCTTTGTTTTTTTCTATCTTCGTCAGTAGAATCGAACTGCATAACTTTTTTACTAATATGTTTTGCTACTTTCACAAGCTTATTAATTTTATCTTGTTGACGTTGCTCGATATATTTTTTATTATTAATCCTTTTTCAAGTGAAAATCTTATTTACCCCATAATTGGGAGTTAAACGTAGCTTGCCAATGTGTGTGTTTATCTTTTCGCATAATATCTATGTAAGATTGCATATGGATTACTTTTCGAGTTTTACAACTTTTCTAATTTTGTTGCCCCGTAAAACAAAGACAATGGCATTTTGTCTATTCAGTTATTCAGTAGTAAGACCAATTTGAGTCTTTCTCTTTCGGTGCCGTGCTATGTTGTTAATCTAAAACAAAATTTATTATTACATACTATAAATAAAATAGTCTAATCAACTCGAAATTTAGTGTGGAGTATAGTGGATCGCCAGTCCATTGTACCCCACATGGAAATGGCCCACTGTTCCCTAAAGCACCACTAACAGCTGAACAACAAATTCCTATAACTTACATAATCTATACGAATCAAACAGCTATTTATTTCTGAAGCTTATTAGATTATTGTTTAGGTAATTTAAAGTAAGTCATTCAATATTAAACATTTTCGTGAATAAAACACTCGAGTAATAGTAGTAAAAAAATAGATTTGATACTCACGGATAGCCAAATGGCGGTAACACATTCTTCAACAGCGAGAGCGTGATGGAAACTGGCGGGGTAGAGGTTTAAGTACTAAAGCATGCGTTCCATTATTGTGGTACGTGTATAGAAAGCATAGGCAAAGAGAAGTAGCCACTGATTCACTGTGTACTACGGCTCACTGTACCCCCTTTCCCCTACCTATGTATAGATGAAAGTAATGAATATTCTATTAATATTTTGTATGCTGTTTTAAAACGTTATACATTGTTTTTTAAACATTGTTTGGCTTCACGTTTAGTTCTATAACAACCTGTCTATGTTTTTTATTCAAACGGTTTGAAATAATGAAATAATGTTTATGGCAGAAGGAAGACACCTAGGAACGAATCCGAGCGAAGCTAGGTTAAGTCAGTAATATTAAAAAAGCTAGTTTTAAATGCATTTTTCCGTTTATTATAATTTAACGCAATAACAACGTATTATATAGTATTATTTTACCATGAACTTCTCAATATTGCCTTGAGACACGTGTTCATTTAACTCGAATGCATCTATCTGTCTTTAACGTTTTTGAATTGTGTGCAATTAAGAAAAATTAAGTAATTTGCGGTATAGCAGCTATAACGTATTAAATACTGTAATTTGATTTGTAAAAAGAGCACTTGTTGAGTTTATCCCGGCGAGCCTCTACTCGGCAGAACAGCCTTCCGAGCCAAGATAGCTTTCTCAAGAATCGACCCACTGACAATTGTTAAATTAAATTGACAATTTAAAAGTGTGTGTCTATGTAAATCTAATTCAATAAAGTTAATTTTATTTCATCATTCACATTCTTTTAACTTTCTAAAGTGCCCCAAAATTGATGTGTGCCCAAGGGTCCTTGGACGGTCGTGCATGTAGCTTTGGTCGCTTTTGATAAGATCCTATTGTAGTTTTTAAATGCGCAATTTTAAGGGCGCATTACTTTTTTACATCACGTATTGGTTAAATGTTCTCCATTGTATATTATATGGTACATTTATTTAACGCGAATATATTCCCGTTAATAAAAACGTTTTCAGTAACTAACAATAGGGAATATGCGTGTAATTTAAATAAAGGTGAATTTTTTTTTTAAATCTTTACTGCTTTTAAATTAAGCCTACATCGATATTTTTAAATAGGTATAATTTCTTTTTGATTAAGAAAATATTTATTAAAAAGTGTAAATATAGGTGAGAAATTCAAAGTAGTTGAAACGCATGCCATTGGTCAGAAAGAATAAGACGTCAAAGTATTATCAGATCAGAGCGATTTTATCGCTACAAATTCGCTAATTTCTGTGTACCTATATCATACTGTGACGTCATTCCAAGCGCGCGAAATGGCGAGCGCTTAAAGTATCCATATCGCTATGATATTTTAGTTTTTAATTAAGTAAGTTTTAAGTTTTTTGGAGCTCGATATTTTTTTACAATTAAATAACGATGTTAGCTATTGTATAATTTTTTTTAAAAAATCACGCATATTCCCTATTTTATAAAAAGTGAATTAGTTGCAATTTTGAAATGAAGATGTAAGAAATGGAAAAGTGCAGCAAGTATGTATAACGCAAGTAAATAAAATTTTATATCTTGATACAAGCATTGAAAAAAGAGCGTGAGGAACTTTGTTCTTAACGGGGGTCCCCCGACCGCATATAATATATATTTTTTAATTAGCATCTCCTCACTAAGGTACTTTATCACAGTCAAATCAAACACCCAAAATAAACTTATCAAACTTACCCGTATTTTCAGTTTTTAAAGCCTTTTTTTATCTTATTTAGATTATCTGGGTTATAGGGGCGTTTTCCAATTACAGCACTAAAGCGTACGGCATAATGCTCAATTTCGAATTTTTCAACTACAGCAACGTTCCCCACAATCAAGCACTTAAATGTACTGCTTTTGTTTTGACCAACCAATTCAGTAGCAGAAAATATAAGAAGTGTTTTTTGCATTACTCGTGTTTGTACGCCAAGGTACGGAATTATGTTCTGTAATTGGAAAACTGGGTAGGTCCTTAACTCCTTTCCTTTCTTACATATTCTGTGGTCTACATAATGGGAAAAAAATTGCCTTTTTCTCCCGCCAGATTTCGCAATCACTATAGCCCTCAGTATATTGTAAAGCTCTATAGCGTGGATGGAATTTTTGAAGTTTTACTTCTTTTGGCACGTTTGACAAAAATATGAGTAAAATTTTTACGATGCGCGCGCACACCGACAGCCAAAATACGACATGATGAAGTTAGCTTAAAACGACATGATGAAGTTAGCTGCATTTCTTGTACAGAGTTGTGACTTAGGTG